TCCCTATTTGGAATGAAGTCTGATTGGTCCCGGAAGAGAGACGATGGCCCTAAAGCTTCCCTGTCCTAAATTTAGGAGGGTAGGGGGATGGGAGGAATGTCTGATCTTCGAGAGGAGCCCCTAGGGCGCCTGTGAGAGGACAGGGCGGGGAGCTGGTCTCCCCAAGGTCAGAAAGAAGGCTTGGGCTTAACCCCGCAGCAGGAAAGGGTTAGGTTAGACCGAAGAACTTGTGTCCTGGGCGGCTGTGAACACAGAAGGGCCGAGGACCAAAGTGGTTTGTGGATTCTCTCTCGGCTGTCGCATTAAGAACAAGAAATTCTAAACTGTTTGGATGCGGAGCCGTTTGGCTCGGAAGGCGGGAGGTAGGATTATATCGTGATGCACTGCTTTTTCTCCGAGCCTAGGCCCGGGTCTTAATTTAGGGGGTGTTATGATTCCTTGACACGGACTGAGGATAGTCCGGACCAAGCTGCGAGTTTTCTTTTTCTTTTTTTCCCCCTTATTTCCCCCTGTAAACAGGTGGGGAGGAGAAAGTTGGGATTGTACCCCGGAATGAAGAGGATCGGCTTTATTCGAAATTAGAAAAAATCCCTCATCCTGGAGTTTGAACCGAAAACTGTAGATCAGCAAGTTCAGTCTTTCATATTTGTGATGAGGAAAGAGATTCACAGAGAGCTCAGTGGGTCTTTCTAGGTTCACCGGGCTTTTCCTTTATTCTGTAAAATCTCAGTGAGGCTTAAGTGAATAAGATAGGATTGCCTTGGTAGATTATGCTGGATCTTTTCTTGTCTTTCTGGGTTTCCATTGGCTTTGCGTGTAATTGACAGTCTTTCCACAAGGACCGTACTCTGGAGCATGGTCAATTCATGGCATTGAGATTCTCGTCAGCACCCTGAAGTTATTTGGGCCAATAGCGAAAATCTGGGGTTCTCCAAACTTCTGCATATTGACTTGGGTCATGCAGTGAGTGGGGCATAAAACCTCTACTTGTATATTAAAGAAGAGTGGACTAAACTTGAAATTAGGGGCCAGGTGTACCAACTTGCTACTGGAATTAGTCACAGGATGCTTAGGTACAGTAAGCCTGATCTAACTGCCATTTTTTTCCTTCCCAAACCCAGTTCGTACTTCCAGTAGTCCCTTGGGATGTCTCACATGTCTGAAAAAGTCGAAATATTTCTTAGCAAAATATTTCTTTTATTCTGTGCTATACACGGGTAATCTGAATGTGTTTATACTAGTAACAGATTCTTTTTATCTAGTTCACACAATCTCAACATGGTAACTTCTTTACTATAAAAGAAGTCATTTGATTTGGCAGGGGTTTCTCTGCACCCGTGTGTCGTGGAGTATGATGGACCAGCTCCAGCTGTCTTAGCATCTCCAAGTCAGTTCTGGTCTCTGGATCTGTTTCCTCAGCTTTAAGATCAAGGGCTGGTCTAAGATGGTGGTTTTTCAAACTGCAAGAGGGGTGGGTTTGTGGGAGGGAGGCTTCTACTTTAAAACAGATCCTTTATCTCTTATGGAAATAGAGGGATTTTTTTTTTTTTTGGTAGGACGAAAGAGTTCTGTTACTTTTTTAAAAAAAATTGAAAACCACTAGTCTCCGTACTCTGGGATTTCTTCTATGCTTGATCTCTAGGAGATGACAGGAAGATTGGAGAGAAATGAAATGAGGAAAAGTGATGTATTTCTGCCATCCTTAGAAGTAACAGGTGCTAAACAATAATCTGTAACTAGACGGCTAGGGAGAATGTAATCAGTTATAGGGTGGCTGCTCAAATTATAACCTGGTCTATGGCATTAATGTTAAAAGTTACAGTCTGACTGATTGTGTGGATGGGGTTAAGCATGAAGCTGTAGTTTTGACAATTATTAATGATGTTGTTGAAAGAGAAATGTTTCAAGGATGAAATCTGCAAAGAGCTTAGAAAAAGGAGACTGGAGAAGAGGTAGGGCTCCTCCTTAATCTAGTGCCGGGCAGAGAACAGCACTCCCAGGGGGCCGGAGAGATGATTCTGGTACCTGGAGAAATCAGCTGATTATGAGGCAGGGATATTTCATGAGACTTTCCCAGAGTTTAATTGAAATCTTCAAAACCAGCCTATCCTCTTGACATTCATAGTCTTGTCGCTAGAAAGATGTATCTTATCCCCCATTACAAAAGAGGAAATTGGAACGTTTTGGTCAGGCTCATGAGTTTGGTTAGAGTGACTCAGCAGCCCAGGCACAATCAGCTGTGGGCATACTGATAAAGGAGGAGTTTGGGGACCAACCCGCTGTCATTTGAGGAGTTTCTCTGCGCGTCAGCTGGCCTTCCATCAGACGGTGTGCTCTGTAAGTGGTCATATTAGAACGAACGTAGCAATTTCTTGGTTCAACTAGCACATCCATTTAATGATGATTAAAACCTGATATTTATCTAGTTTTTAACCTCCAGTACTTGAGGATAAGATCTAATCCCCTGAGAGAAAGATAAGGAGATCTTATTTTATAAACAACTGAGTCTTAGAATGAGGTAAATGGTGTAGCCCTCTGCAGGTTGGTTAATGCTTTATCAGAACCGCACACCCATTATTTATCACTCCAAGCCTAAACTATTCATACTCGTTCATTAATAATGTTAGATGTATTCACAAGTACAGAGGATTGAGCTCGGGGTGATAACTTAAATTTTCTCCTATGTCCAGACCCCAACTCAGAGCCTTAGGGTTAAGGGCCTACCACAGTAAGCCACCCTCTACTCATATAGAAAGTATAACTGTATAGAAGATACTGTATGTTCAAATTCAGTACTTTCCAAAAAGCTCTTTTACCCTCTAGCTCTAGAAACTTGAACCCTAAAGAGTTTTCATTATAATAGATTGTGCTGCTTTGTATAAATTGGCCTCTACCCAGCACTGCCCAGTAGAATTTTCTACAGTGGTAGGAACATCCTGTATCTGTGCGGTCCCATACAGTCGCCACTAGCTATGGGTAGCCACTGAGCACTGAAAGTGTAGCCAGCGTGATCGAGGAACTGGGTTTCAAATTTTATTTAATCTTAATTAATTTAAATGAACAAATATATCTCGTGGCTACTGTATTGGACAGCACAGTTCCATGTAATTTGACTTAAAATTACACCTCCTTTAATTTATTTCTGATTTCTAACTGAGGTTTGGAAGTCCTGATAGCACTTGATTCTTGCATAGAAAACATAAAAATTTTGTCTTTCTTGTACATCTCAGAACACTTGACTGAGAAATATGTGTGATTTTTCTTAAAACCTGGACATTTTAAGTGGCTGGTGCTACAATCGCACAGTAACAACCTGGTGAAGTAACTTCTCATAATACCAGGTGGTGTAGCCGGAATAATCAAGTTAATGTGTCCAAGAGCAGCCTTTCCAGTGATTGTCCAGAAAAGTAATTTAATATGTTAGAGGGCAGAGAGGTTTTGTGTTAATGTGATAATTGGGGAAAACTCAGGGATGAAAGAAAATGAAAGATTAGAGGCTACCAGAACCTCTAATGCTCTTCCTGTGTAGCACCATTTTTATAAGGATTTTAAGTGTAAATAGGCAAAGGCAGTCACTCCTGTCTTAGATGTCGTACGGACAGGACTTAAATTAGGTAACTTGGAATCGTAGCTTCAGGAGATGTAGGAAAAGATCACATTAATTAGGTGGCGTTTGAGAGCTTAGTCCTTAATGTCTTCCTGATCTTATTTGTTCCCAGCAGGCATTTCAAATTGTCAAGCTTTTTTTTTAGAAATGAGTTTTACTAATTTAAGCTCGACCATACTGCTGCTCTTTTATATTTTTGTTCTTCGTGCCTGGCGACGGTGTACTTCTAACTTTTTTTACCTGTTGGGATATCATATGATTTATCTCTTTTTAGGCAAGAGGGCACATTTATATGTTGTCATGGTTTACAGTTTGAAGTGTCCAGAAGGTCCATTGTTGAATTTTTTTTTTTTTTTTCTCCTTGTGATTTAATTTCAGGAAAAGGAGAAGGAATGGCAGCGAAGAAGACCACCATCTCCCCCCACAGACTAAAAGGAGTAGCAGGAACCCTGTCTTTCACGATTCCTGGGACACAGAGGTAGGAAGTGTGGTCCTGAGTATCTGCTGTTTTCATTGCTTGAGCTAAATAACCCAGTTACTTCCATGTAATTAAAATTTTTTTTGAATAAAGAAAAGTGATCTTATTTGATTGCAGTGTTTTTAACCTCTTTTTTTTTTTTTTTTGAGTCATGGCCTTTTTTTTTTTTTTGGGGTAAAGAATACAGAAGCCAGCTTATTGTCTAATCGTTTCTAAACATTAATTGTCCTTAAGACAAGTATATATTGCTGCTTCCATGTCTCTTAAAGATAAGCTTTCCATGTTTTTAAGAGAAACCGTACAAGCATTCGGAATATATAACGTATGTGTATGCGAAGTCCTATTTTTAATTGTGTTTATGTTTTCATTATGTTGTTCTGAGAAGAGCACCTGTGGGAAGCAGAGTGGAGTGGGGGGAGAGGGGAAAGGGGAAGGTTCAAACTTTGGTTTCAACTTTGGTTTCCTGGGTGCTTCAGTATGCCTCCTGTGCACTTGAGCACCTGGTCTGCAGTGGGGCAGGGAAGCTGACACTGAAGGGATGCTGCTATTAAATTATGCACCTAAATATTTGACCCTCAACTGTTGTCACCCTAAGAGAGAAACGCCTCAGTGGCAAAGATTCCTAAGCCCTAGTCTCATCACTTAAAGCAGAATTCCATAGATCACAGTTCTTCCACAGCCAAAGTAATTTGTACTTTAATTAGTTCTCAGTAATAGGATTTGACCTGTATCCAGTCTTTACCAGAAATCCAAAGTAATTCCCTCAGGGAGAAAAAAAATCAGTAACTGTCATGTAGGTAATACTCATTCAGGAGCAGTTGATGCACCAGTGCAGACTAGATCCTTTTACATGGAGACTTAAATTTCTATAGCTTTTATTCTCCCTTTTAAATCTTCCTATCACCTTTTTTTTTCCTTTGGTTTTTTTTTATTTCTCCCTTAAAATTAACAGAAAAGTAATTGAGCTTTTGGTTAAATTAGGGAATCTCTTTTTTCTTTGGAAAAAACCCAAAGATTAGAGGCTGCCGTGAACATCTAATGATAAAACTAACAGAATTGAGTCTCCATTATTCTTTTGAGTTATAAGACTATTCATTAAAAAGAGTATGCGGTGATTACTTTCACGGTATCACCCTGAATATTTCTCCGGATGCGCAGGCTCAGCGGCCATGGCTCACGGGCCCAGCCGTTCCGCGGCATGTGGGATCTTCCCGGACCGGGGCACGAACCCGTGTCCCTTGCATCGGCAAGCGGACTCTCAACCACTGCGCCACCAGGGAAGCCCCTGAATATTTCTTTACTTGTGTCTGTATGTCAGTCCTGCTATATGATGTTTGCAGTAGATCTTTGTTGTATTGATCTTTTTTCCCTATATCTACAATTTTGATGTTTGAGAACAGGAATATAAATTGTCATTTTTTAAAAAATCAAACATTTCTGATCTCTTATTTTGAGTAATACTCCTTAGTATTACAGTTTTGGTTTGTTTTAATTGCTGTTTGTAGAGAATGACCTTCACTCCCTAATACCTTTCTTCTTCTCACAGAAGAAAACAGTGTATTGTTATTCAACCTGTGGGTTCACGTCTGGTTCTTACTTGTCCAAAGAAATTCAGTGGTTAAACCACTCTGTAATCGTTAGTCTGAAGGATGGACTGGATTGCCCTTGTAATAAGTAACAGTCAATACAGGTACTTTTTACCTGTCACGGTAATCTGAACTCACCGTTAGATCCCTCACGGGCGGTCATGACCCTCCGACCCTCCATTTCAGCACATTTACCGGCGTCTGGTGCTGTCGAGTAATGAGTCTTTTTTTTTTTTAATTAATTTTTATTGGAGTATAGTTCATTTACAATGTTGTGTTAGTTTCTGCTAACACACAGCAAAGTGATTCAGTTGTACATACACATATATCCACTTTTTAAAAATTCTGTTCCATATAGGTCATTAGAGTATTGAGTATAGTTTCCTGTGCTATACAGTAGATTCTTATTAGTTATCCCTTTTATATATAGTAGTGTGTTTATGTCAACCCCAGTCTCCCAATTTATCCCTCCCCCTCCCCTCGAGTAATGAGTCTGAGTGAACCCAGGGAGAACTAGAGCAGCAAAAGGCAGGGGAAAACTTGAAAATGGAAAGTTAAGTACTGAATAATTGAATTGTGACCACTGGAGTAGATCATTATGTTTATAGCATAAAAATGTCCAGTTTAGGGACATTTGGCTGCTTGTTGACAATTGTGTATAAAGGGGGAAATAATAAAACATGCCATTACTAGTAGATTCTTAATGTTATTAATTTACATGACAGTGTATTGTTAATGAAAACGGTATCTTTTAATTCTAAGGTAGGGCCAACGGGGTAAGTTTCCTTAAGAGACTTAAGAGGAGCCATTTCCTGTGTCTTTATTTTATTATTACTTTTTAAAAATTTATTTATTTTTGGCTGTGTTGGGTCTTCGTTGCTGCGCGTGGGCTTTCTCTAGTTGTGGTGAGCGAGGGCCACTCTTCGTCGTGGTGTGCAGGCTTCTCATTGCAGAGGCTTGTCTTGTTACGGAGCACGGGCTCTAGGTGCGCAGGCCTCAGTAGTTGCAGCATGCAGGCTCAGTAGTTGTGGCTCGCGGGCTGTAGAGCGCAGGGTCAATAGTTGTGGCGCACGGGCTTAGTTGCTCCACGGCACGTGGGATCTTCCCGGACCAGGGCTCAGACCCATGTCCCCTGCATTGGCAGGCGGATTCTTAACCACTGCGCCACCAGGGAAGCCCCTCCTATGTCTTTCTTGAGATACTTAAGTTTAGAATTTTTTTCTTGTAACATAAAGAACTTTCATTTGGAAGTTTATTTTCATTGTAAGAGAGATTTAAAACTGTTATTTATAATTAATTTCCAGAACTCACCTTTTTCTCCTAAATGTGATAACATTGGCAAGTACTGGGAAATAAGACACGAGGTGTTTGAATTGTTTCGAACTGTGCCACAAGTAAGTCATGTTTATCTGTAAAATGGAGATAGTGTGGGCCTCTTTTTTTCCTAGATTCTAGGAAGCTGAAGAATGTGAACTGAAGAATGTGAGCCGACTTGCCAGATGAGTTATGTAAAGAGAAACTTTGAATCTACTTGTACATTTTCTTCCTGTCAGTTTGGTGGTTATTGTGATCTCTACTTTTCAGATGGAAAAATTAGGGCACAGAACAATAAAGTCCCTTGCCCAAGGATACACAGCTGGTGAGAGGCAGACTGGGGAGCCCCAGAGTCTGAGTGTGAGCTGTGGGCTCCTGCCCACGGTGTGTGCCGCCTCCCAGAAGACAGATCGGAAGCTCTGAGGGACTTTGCTACATATACCCAGGGCCACTAGGTTCTAGACTTCTCTTGAATCATAGGAACAGAGAAGAATAATTTCCCTCCCTCTGTCTTTTAGCTGGAAAATATTTTTCTGAGTAAATGCTATGACATGGTATTAGCTAGAAAGCAGTTTTAGATTTCTAGCCACAAAAAGTAAGGAAATTGGGGTCTAGTGGTTTTTTTCAAAACTCGAATCTGTGTTTGCATTGAAGATCTTGAATTTTAACTCCAGTGACTTAGATTTAATGCCTGTGAGCCTTAGGATACTAGTTTTAAATTGAGATATAATTTACAGGTATAGGAATAAAAAAGTTTTTTGAAAGGCATTCTAGATGATTCCTGGTAAGTTAATGTCTAAGGCAGGTTCGTTTTTCTCTCTGGTGAGCAAGGAGTGAAGTGATTTGTCACTCTGCATCTTCCTGTTGGGTCCTTTACAAAGGTAGCTCCATTCCCTGACTTCAGACAGTTATTGGATGGGTAAAAACTAGCTAGACTTAACTTATTTAAATCCATTTTCTTAGGCTGGCCGTTTTGGTTTGACTTGTAGCTTCACTTCTAGGAATAATGCTCTTTATTTTCAGCTTGAATATCTTTATCTACAAATTACATTAGACACGTCCAGTAAATCTGGCTTCTGGTATGCAGGTATATGCCTTATAAGAAGTACTCCTACCTGAGTGAACAAAAGCAGTACCTTTTGAAAATACAAAGACCCCAACTTTTTAAAAATACCTTTAACTTACCAAGACCGTTTTGATTTTTTAGATCACAACGAAGTAACAGCAAGTAGAGAGCGAGAAGATGTGGAAGTAAAACAGAGGTGGCTTAATTGGAACAGCCTCTGTCTTTTTTCTTGTCTCTACTAGAAGGGAGAATCTGTGATGGCATAACTCTAAAATCCCAAGGGTGTTCTTAGTTGGAGTGTAGAGGCATGACAGATAAAAACATTACAGAACCGGGGAATCCATGTATCATTACAATTAGGATTCTATAAGTCCATTTGTTTTAACTGATAAGAATTGGCAGTGTGTTAGGTGATTTTTTTTTTTAAAGCACTGAATTTAGATGACCCTGGGAATATTTTGCATAATTTTTAAAGAAGGTATTTTAACACTCTGTGTTTGTTCATTCTCATCATTAATCTGTCCTAGTAGTAGGACCAGCCTAACAGACAAAACTGTTTTGGCAGATTCTGGGGTAAGGTGTTACCGTTGTGTGTTTAAAACCCTGTAGCAAATTAACTCTGAAATTAACTTCTCCAAAGGTCCATTCAAATGCAGGAACAGTCCTTTCAAAAGTTAACCCAATTTGTAGTGTCAGTCTTTAGAAACTTTGCTCACAGTTCAAGTCCTTGAAATATTTGTAATATGTTGCATCAACTCACAGCAAGAAAAGCCATCCCAAGCAGTTTCATATTGAACCTGAACGTTATCTGTTTAGTAATGAGAATACATACATGTTTTTAGGCAGAAACTTCAAACAGATGTTGTGGTCCAATTTTATCTTGTAAGGATATGCCATTTACTCATTGACACAGAAAAGTGACTACCTGTAGTTTCTTCCCTTGCGCATTTAGAAAGTGGTTTTAGTTAGCCCACTGAATGCATTTGGGGTCTTATGGTCTCACTGGTATTAGCAGACCTGGAGCTCTCTTAAATCACTGGGCACTTTGGAAGCACAGAGTTTTACATTAGAAGCTCTGATAGACTTGGCTGGGATCATCCCTTGCACTTAATTCAGATTCTGTAGTGGCCTTAGGGTGAACTTCATTCTGACTCCAGGGATGGAATGTGTAATACAACGAGCAAGATTTCTTTTTTCGTTTGAGGCTCACGTAAATTTAAAAGCACCACTGGATGGGGAGATGGATGTGAGGGGAAGCTGGGGCTTGAAAGAAAATAAAATACGCTGTTGATCTGCTTTTCTGACTAACAGAAAGCATCCAGCTCTAGGTAATAAGTGTACACATATACTCTGGCTCTCTTTTTATGAAGCAGAGACTCAGTAACAATCCCACCTGGGGGACTTTCTAAAGGTTATTATAGAAAGTGTCTTTAGAGCTATTTTGTTTCTACCATGGGTATAAATGGGCTCTCTCTTAAACTGACTTCACACCCTGGGAAAATAAAATTCAGGGCAGGCCTAGCTGAGGGGTCAGGAGCCCTGTATGATTTGAGCCCTTGGGACTAAGAAAATGAACTTCAGTTTGTCTGCCCTCTGCTCCATGATTTATGTGTATTCTTTCTGCTAAAGGCAGTGCGTGTTCTTCTGCCTTATCTGCTCTACCTTCTCTCAAGGCTCCTGAAAGCTCTTTCTAATACTTCTCTCTTCATCTCTGCCCCCCAAGCAGTCTGATACAGAGAGGCTCCACTAAGCAGGGGAAATACAATTTTTTCCGTCTCGAGTTTTTTGGTTTTTACAAGACAAAACGCTTTACTTCTTCATACATCTTAAGGCTCTGATAGAGACTTAAAATTTGGTTTTATGCTTTTAGGGTTAAAAGGAAATAATGGTCTTTCCTTTATCCCACAAAGTTAGATCACTTTGATGGCTGACAGCGTTAAGACCCATTTCAGTAACTTTCAGACTTTTTGACCCGGTCCCACAGAAATGCCATATTTTGTGACCCAGTACATACCAAATATACTTGTGCATCACTGAAGAGAAGTTTCACAGAACAATCACTCTTAGCACGTTGCACTGCTTGCTTTTATTCTGCTGGTTGCTGCTTGGCCATCCGTAGATGGTGAGATATTCCCTAAAGCCCCTCGATAATGCCAAGACCTGCCTGAGTGGGGTGAAAATAGGAACCAGTGCACCTTTGAAAGAGATGTATTGTTCTTACCTTGAGTGACAGTAGGGTGTAATGTTTTATGTGTACTAAAATAACGTGTAAAGTGCGTTCACCCAGATTCCCAGGTTCTGTGTAGGTTCTCTCTTAGTCTAAGAGCGTCACCGGCCTGCTGTCTGCGAGGGTCAGCTGGAGCAGTTCCGGGCTTCTTAGGCCGTCACGGGAGGCGAACGGCCTTCCTGAGACCTTACTGACGGCACCAGTGTTTTCTTTCAGTCTCCGTCTTGCAGCTGCGAGTGGCTGGAGGCCTTGCACTCTCTTCTGTGGCAGCACTCTTCAGTTCTCTTACTCGTGACTGTATTTTGCCCTCAGAAGAAGTATTTTTGTAGAAGCTCTAGAAAATACAGTCTTTTTAAAAAGTAGGAGGTCCACATTCTAAATATTTTGGCATGTATATCCTTCCAGAATATTTTTGGTGTACGTATATGTATACATTAAAGAAAACACTAAAAACCGCTGGACCTACTATACGTTGTTTTGTAACCTATAAAAAAGATGTTAAAGATCTCTTTCTACCTTGGTGTATGTACATCTCTTTTCCTCACTGTTACCAGCAGAATAGAATTTCATCGTTATGGATTATAATTCATGTGTTACACTTTATATACATATACCATAGTTTAACCAGTTTCCCTATTTTTATTTTATTTTTTTAATTATTTTTAAAAATACATTTATTTATTTAATTTTACTTTTGGCTGCGTTGGGTCTTTGTTGCTGTGCATGGGCTTTCTCTAGTTGCTGCGAGCGGGGCTACTCTTCGTTGTGGGGAGCGGGCTTCTCACTGAGGTGGTTTCTCTTTTTTTTTTTTTTTTTTTTTTTTTTTGCGGTATGTGGGCCTCTCACTGTTGTGGCCTCTCCCATTGTGGAGCACAGGCTCCGGACGAGCAGGCCCAGCGGCCATGGCTCACGGGCCCAGCCGCTCCACGGCACGCGGGATCCTCCCAGACCGGGGCACGAACCCGTATCCCCCGCATCGGCAGGCGGACTCCCAACCACTGCGCCACCAGGGAAGCCCTGAGGTGGTTTCTCTTGTTGCGGAGCATGGGCTCTAGGCACGCAGGCCTCAGTAGTTGCAGCACGCGGGCTCTAGGCACGCAGGCCTCAGTAGCTGCAGCACGCGGGCTCAGTAGTTGTGGCTCGCGGGCTCTAGAGTGCAGGCTCAGTGGTTGTAGCACATGGGCTTAGTTGTTCCACGGCATGTGGGATCTTCCCAGACCAGGGCTCGAACCCGTGTCCCCTGCATTGGCAGGCGGATTCTTAACCACTGCGCCACTAGGGAAGTCCCAGTTTCCCTATTTTTAGACATTTAGGTTGTTTCCCATTTTCACCTATTATAAACAGGGCCACACTAAACATTTTTATACGTGTCTTTAAAAATCTGAGTTACAGGATACTTAAAACGGACTAGAAATTGCAGGTGTATTTGTCTCCCTCTCTCTCTTTTTTAACAGTTATTGTACAGCAATCTTTTTTAACCTGTTTATTTTAAAGAATTTTTATCTTTTTTCAGAATAGTGTCACCTTTGCTGTTACAGTGTGAAGTAAATATAATTTGAGATGGAAACTTGACTTACTAGAAACTGATTCTAGTTCTTGCCTTAATTTTCAGACAGTGCCTGTAACGGGAAACAGGAAAGAAAACAGACTGAGAGGAGACAGAGTGCTCTGTGCTGTGGGCCTCCTACCCAGTGTGGTGACCTGCTCGTCACTGGGTAGCAGCCTTGCCGGCTGTGCCATCGGCAGTTCTAGCTGATTCTGTGCTAGGTTAGGGGGAGGCTTTTATGGAACACAACTTCTGTTTTTGAATTGGCTTTCACTTAAGTCTTAAGTAAATGTAATTGCTGCTGCTGTTAACCCTGCCATCTGACCTTATTCAGCCCATTATAATGCTTTCATCAATTTTTTTTTTTTACGAAGATAGATAGGTTGTCTCCTACTACCTGGGGGCAGTGGGCTAAGTGACCTGTTAAGTGTAAGTGCCTCCAAATGACCTATGGACCATGATAATTCTTGGTTTAAGTGTTAAGACTGGATGCCTTTCGTGAACATTGCTTTCTTTGCCATTTTAGATAAGTTTATTTATGTACATAGTTAGGTATAACTTTTGATCAAAAAATGGATAGAACTAGTATTTTAAAAATCACTTTTAAAGTATCTATCTAGAAACAACATTTTATTTATACATTTACTTTTATAATGAAAATAGATAATAAGCACATTGCAAAAAGTTGCAGTAAAGGGTAGAAAAAATCACCAACTATAACCCCTCCACTTTGACCTATAACTACTATGACCTGCTTCTTGCCAGCCTTTTCCCTTACATGTAGATTTCACAAGGTCGTAAGCAGGCATTTCAAAACCAGTGTTTTTGTATAAAGGAATATAAATTTAGAAGTATGAAAGGGTAAAATTTTAAAAAGTTATACACCAGATCATTAACCTCTAGAATTCTAAATGTCTCATGCATTGATTCCTTCCAGCACAATATTGTGTTGAGTTGTAAATAGAGAAGTGTGCTGTTAATCAAGTTATTGGGGTTGCCATTTATTAGAAATCGTCAAATACTGTAATTCGGAAAAGGATCCATCCTTACCACGGCCTTCCCTTTGAAGATCCTAGCATCGGAAGTAAGGAGATTTCTGAGGGTGACTCTTACCAGGGAACTCTGAGTAGCTTCTTCAAGATGACTAAGACACCAAGTAACATTAGGGATATTAAACAGAAAATTAGGCACGTGTGTGCACGTATGCACATGCATACACATAGCAAACTGCAAAAATGCTAATATAACTCTACAAGAAGTATATTCAGGTCTTTCAGGATAATACAAATTACTAGGTATAAAATAAGCTACAAGGATATACTGTTCAACACAGGGAGTATAGCCAGTCTTTTATAATGACTATAAATGAGATATATAACCTGTAGGAATCGTGGGTCAGTATATTGCGCACCTGTAACCTATATTGTGCGGCAACTATACTTCAATTAAAAGGAGTCTTTCAGGACGTGTGTTCTGCCTTCAGAGAGTACAGTTTTGTGCCCATGAGATAACCACAAAGTTGTCAAAATTTTCCCTTGTGCCCAGAAGCCACCTCACTTGTTACAAGGGCGCCTGTTTCGTACCCTGTACCAATGACTGATGCTTCCCTTTGGAGGCTGAGAACTCCCTTCTGTGATTATTGGAAATGATCGGAACGCGTGGTAAAAGCACGCAGGGAAGATGCGTAAAGGAATTAAGATGTAGTGGAAGGGATTTGCGGTCGGAGGGCCCGCGCTGGAGCCCGGACCCTGCCTCTTCCGGGGGTGGGGGGGTGTTGGGTCATCACCCCACTCGACTTCACAGGCAGGTGTGAGGACAGAACGGAGTATCTTAGAGAAAATGCTTTGTAAGCTCTCAAGCCCAGGGTGTGTTTTCATGCTGATCCTCCTCAAACTGAATAGGGAAACGGTCCTAAAGAGGGTATTTGAAGTTAACCCCCCGTTAAGCTCCTAAGACCCCGAACAGCCTAACTGTGATGCCGTGTCTTTTTCCCCCGTTCCAGTCTTCAAGCAGCGACAGTGGCGGGAGCAGCGGCAGCAGCAGCAGCATCAACAGCCCGGACCGGGCCAGCGTGCCGGAGAGCGGCTCAAGCCACCCCACCGCCCGGTCCAGCCCCCACGGCCCGCAGCCCGCGCCCGCGCCGTCCACGCTGTGCCAAAGCCCGTACTTCCACATCAACCAGACCCTGAAGGAGGCCCACTTTCACAGCCTGCAGCACCGAGGACGGCCTCCCACATGATGTGCCGGCACTTTCTTGCCTTCTGTGAAGGGACCGCGCTGCGCAGATTTGATATTTCAACTTAACGATGTTTTAAAAAAAATTGCACAAAAAGATGCCTGTTGGCTTTTCAGTCTATATTTGAAATAACAGGTTAACAGGCCATTGTTTACTTGTGGTTTTGCTGCACTATTGCGATTTCAAAGGGGCTTTGAAGCTGTTTTTTATAGGATTCTTTTGAGGGTGGGTATCAAATCCAGGGCAAGTCAACAGTAGGAGGAAACCTCATCTGCGTGTTGAATCCATAGTTTGTCCAAGTCAGACTGATTTCCAGATCTGTCACTTAGAAATTCTACTTTCTGTAAAAAGGCCTTTTCATTTTGCCGGATCTTCAATTTTTTAAATTCAATAAACTAGTAAAGAGTATCTACTTTCCATGAAAAAACCTAAGTTTTTTCCCAAAACATAGAAAGCTTGATTCAGTCTTGCACTGAAATTAATTGCCATACTACCTCTTAGTATGTAGGTGTCCTGTTGAAAGTACTGTCCTCTGTGACAGGAGAACCACCAGATTGCAGTCAGACTGTATGATAAAGTCAGCACCTGCCCTGATAACCGTCCTCTCTCTCTGTTATATATTTGTATTTCCAGAGAGAAGGACTCTCAGACCCTTGGATCCCCAGATAAACTTGTTACCGTTATTCCTCCAGAGCCTACATCTCAGACTTAGAGAACACTGCTCAGTTCGGACAGTCAAGGAATACGTAAATGACTTTGTCTTATTCACAGACTTGTCCAGCAGCAGCCTGTGTGTGCTCTCTGATAATTCCGCCTTGTAGTGTCGAGAATTGAGGCGCTGGTGAAGGCTGACACAGCGTAAGCTCTCTGGTGTCTGAAGTCACAAGTGTTGTGAAACTATTGGACAAGGATTCACTTTATACTTAAAGTAACCCCCAACGGGAACCAGGGGGCCCCATTCCACAACGGCAACTGGAAAGACTGGTGTGGCTTAGAAACGAATGAGCAGAGGCACTTCTAGAAGAAATAATGCAGGAGTATTTATTTAGAGAGACGGATTGTCCCGTGTCACTTGGTCATACTAGAGAGCCACCCTAGTTTGAACAGTGAGGGCGCAGACGAGTCTTCCTCCTCGGTGACAAGCTGTCTGAACAAGGAGCCGGCGTGCGTCGGGTCATCTGCTCGGGAGAGTGCCGGGGGGACAGCAGCCTGCCGCTGTACGTAAAGGAAAGTGCCTTAGCGTCTACTGGACCCCCGGCCTGCTCGCCCTCCACTCCGCTTGGGGTCCACACGGCACACACAGCAGATCTGAGAAGCACGGACAGCTCTAGAAGGGGACTCTGCTCTTAGACCAGATTGGGAAAGGACACGGGCAGAACGAGATTTTAGTATGTGACGGAAGTAAAATCTGAAGCTGAGGACTGTAGGAAGAGGGTAAACGTGTACCTTCTCTCCATGGTTTGTTCCTCTCATGCGGGTAGAGCTGAAAGGTCAGTTACTTGAAGCAGAAACGGAGAGTTGTGAGGGAAAGGTACAACACAGGCCTGGGCTTACAGAGTGCGAGGCTTGTGCAAAAACTTTTTTTTTTTCACTACCATCTCCCAAGTTTTAAAACAAGATGTTTGACGGAGGATTTTGGATCTTACTGGGTTTGATGGCAGGGAATATGGAAAGGATACCTGGCGAATATTTTGTCTAATCAGAAAGCAAACAAGGATTAAATGCTGGAAGGAGGCAAGCTGTTGGAGCTCTCATAGACACATGCGTACACAACACACTTCAGAAATACCCAGGAGGACTCCCGCAGGCTTAACGGATGGCAGCCTACTGAAACAAAACGTGTTAACAAGAACATGTAAACTTGAGAAAGCACATTTCCTTGTATTTCCCACCCGACTAAAAGAAATGAGAGGTGAAACCATCACTGGAACAAAGCAATTGTTTTTCCAGATGAGTACAGTCATAGTGCAGGGTTAGCAGTTAACTCTCTTACCCTATTAAACACAAGAAGTATTCTCCATCCCGTCCTGCATATTTGCTACAGCCTTGGCAGCCTGAGATACATTTCTATTATGAGGCTACTTGATAGTGTCAGTGGGCATCTCTTAAAACCTCTTATTAGCTCAAGCGAGTAACACCGTGTACTTCTATATTGCGCCGCCATTAAAAGCAGCACTAGTGCATCCTGTCATCTGGTTCTTTATTGGTTATTGAAAGGGGAGCTGACCGGTGGTTTGGTGGGAGACGGGGCAGGATCGATGGGGGTGAACCTCTCCTCTGCGCACTAACCTGGGCTCTGGTTTCGATGGTTCTGCCGGCTGATTTGGCCTTTCGAGGGCTCGTCATGCTCAGTGGAAGAAGTCCAAACCTCCAGGACAAGATGAGGGCATTTCAGTAGAAGGACCAGGAAGCTCTGGGGCCCCAGCAGGAACCACTCAGAATCATTACCTGATCTGACTTGATGCTAGTGGTAGTACGTTATGGGCTTCCTGGGAGCTGAAGGTACTGCTCCTGGGGGTGAAGTGATTCTCTGTAGCCGTCACTAATCCAAAGAGAACCTGCCAGACAAGAGACGGGGCAAAGTAACAGGCTGGGTGTTGTACTGTCCGCTTAAAAGAAAATTCTGTCAGTAATCAGTCACTACTTTGTTTCTAACCATCCTTTTGAGGAAATGCTCTTTTGAGTGTGTTAATGCTCCAAGATTACTTTTATCACTGCCCACAGGTCAGAATCTCCCAGTCGAATAGCTCTTTGTATTCCTCTCTCTGAGGCCCTGATAAAACCTGAATAGTCCTTATTCACAACTAAAGGGGTCATCCCAGGGTTGCCTCAGCCCCGAGGTTTGATCTAATCCTCTTGTTGGCCCCTGTAACAGCTCAGCTCTGTGTCTTAGCCCCTCTCTGCGCTGTGTCCTGGAGTGTTGTGTGCTGGGCAGGTCTGTGCTGTCATCTGAGCCCGTGGCGCTGCGTTCACGTTCACGGTGAGCGTGTTCCCTGCCCCCGGCTTACAGAAGTCCGCTGCACCAGGCGGTTGAGGTTGCCGTGGAGGTGCGGTGTGAAAACGTCCAGGTCAAACGGGTCAATGAGCGCTTCAAGGTAGTCAGCCACTTTCTCAACTCTGAAAAAAGGATTTAGTGGGTCATTCTCCACGTTTTGTAGGACAGAAACCAATCTTTGGGTGTTGTAATGCTAGATAAGCCCTGGAACTGGGTCTGTTCTCCTTAACTGCTGGCTTAGCCCCACTTGTCACTGATCATTGAGCTTAAATGATCCTCAGGAGTTTTCACCTGATGGGATGTCTAAGTCCAGTCCACAACTTCCCCAGGTTGTTTCTGGGGAGGGTACCAGAGGTTCAAATTACACCCAACAGTTGGTAGGCTGACTCAGAAGAGAGGCATGAGATTCCTTGTACTACACTTGACTGTGGAATCTATCCAGCAGGTGGTCGTTCTTTCTCTTGCTGGTAACATGAGCCCTTACTGTTGAAAACAAACACAACTAATGGGCAACATGAGGCTAACTCCAGTGGCTTCCCAGAAAAGGGCTGTGCAGGTTTGGGAGAGATGCACGGGAGGGTGAGCATACCTACCTGGGGTCCTGTTTGCTGCGGCCACTCTTCATCTCTTCACCCTTGGTCGTCAGAACGATGTTGAGATAACGCAGATCGTAGAGCAGCTGCAGTGCCCGATTCTGGGTCATTGGAAATGCACCTTCTTTCTGCAAATGAATTTCCCGTCCCCACCCATTAAGGGAGATGACTTGTTATCTGAGAATAAACAGCTTCAAGGTTTGGCTGCATTTCAGCTGGTTATTTCAGAAGCTTTTTATACTCAAAAGGCCAGTTTAATCTCGTAACAACAACAAAAATAAGTCATGTTAGATACCTGGTCTTAAAACGAAAAACCTAATGGCCGGGAAGAGACCCGGCCCTTAAAAAAAGGTCTCAGGTGCTGTAGACCGTCATTTTAAAAGAAAAAAGCTCCTGGCATGAAGGAGAGGCCTTCTGAGGAAACTCAGGAGAGAAGACTTAATCCGAACTCCTTCGCAAGTCAGGAGTTGGTCCTGTCTTGAACATGTTAGTAATGCAATGGGAGTATGTGCCAAAGGCAGAGGGCTGCAGAGCACTAAGGGCGTGGAGGGCTGGGTGACAGGAGCTCCCCACTGCGGGTGTGCTGTGCTTTGCTACTGTTCCCGAGCCTTCACACTACCCCCCACCCCTCCCAAGCAGCGCACGTGACCCCGCTGCATCCTGAGGAAACAGGTTAATGATCTGCCCAAAGCCTGCAGTGACCACGTGGCAGTGCTGGGCTTGGAAAGCAGGTCTTTTTAAAAAACTTTGAGGCTTTCATCCTCGCCACTGGTACGGAACTGCCTTTTCAGTGATGACCAGCTTGACCCTCGGGAATGGGTGTGATTGAAGTCGAGGAGCTGGAAGCCACTACCGATTAGATAGCCCGGGGCAAGTGGTCCTTATCACCTGGAATCCTAGGTGTGAACCGCCCAAACCCAGGAAAAAGCTACAGTTTTTGTTTTTAATGGGAAAAAATTCACACACCTACCTTCACCTGTTTTTCTTCTGAGAGTTTCTCATAGGCAGCTACTACTTGAACCAGAGAGCTTTTCAGCATCTCCTGCAGTGTCCCCTTGGGCAAGGCATGGCCTCCAACCCGATTAATTTCCTGGCATAAGCTCAACAGGAAGGACTGTACATACCAGGACGGCTAAAAGAACAAAGGAATGTCCAGTTGCCAACTTGCACCAATGCAGCGAGATGGGCTAAGAGTGGCTTCATTTACCCTACCTAGGTTTATACGTCAGGACCTTGACCCCTCCAGTCAGCCCCTCTCAGAGCAGACCAGTGAACAGATACAAGTGATGTCTGCTGTCATTCCCTTGGTGGCCTGGCACCGTGTTTTCCATTGCTGTTTCCACTTTAGGGTGAGTGGTTCTCTAATTAGCACAGAGTCTGTGCTGCAAAAGGCAAGACTCATGAACTGACTCCTCGAACAGTCTCCTATTTACTTGGCCCTACGCCCTCTTTGCTCCCAGAGTAGAAAGTTACACGTCTTACTTGCAGCCCTTCCTCAGAAGCTGTATGCTGAATGATTATTTCTCAAGTCTCGGTCCTTTCCACAGAGCAGGTTTTCCCCTTTCCAGTGGCAGGCCCCTCATAGTGGCCCTTACTTACCTGGACAGGCAGTCGGATCTTGGACGTGACGCTGCTGCCAGACTCTGCTTCCTCCTGGATTTCTAGTTCATCCCAACTGGTGGCCGTGGCCAGGACTGAGCCAGCATCATCTAAAAGTAATGACTGGGTGAATCCACGAGCCAAAACCTGGTAATAGAAAGCAAATATCCATATGGGCCACTCAGATCCTTTGTGGAGTTTGTTTCAAACTACTCGGGTCATCTTGAGACCAGCTTCTGCTGCTTGCGCTGTGTGTGTGATGGCGAGTGGCACACCTCACTTTTCTTCTAACTGCTGATGCCAGCAACAGGGATGTGGTTGCCAACCACCCTACAGATGTCAGGGGCCACCTCTTAAAGACACCAGTGGAGATGATGATATTTAGGTTGAAGAGCAGAAAACAGAGACCCTTGTCCAGGGAGAAAGTCTTTCATTCTAATCAGATGGAAGGAAAAAAATCCAGGGTTTCTGGCTATAAAATGTAGGCTAAAATGAATAGAAAAGTTTTTACATTTGAGCTATCTGGCAGAGATAAATGAAAATAACTGTGTGAAATAAGAATTGTTATTCCCTTACTATTGAAAGGCCTTACTGAGCTTGGCCAGCCTGGACTATGACAAAAAGGGGACAAAAATGGGGATCGTCTGGCGGGCACAGAAGGAATACGTTTATGTGTCACTCACTTTCACAACTGCCGAGCTCCAGACCCTGTAGCCCATCACGCTCTGCTGTAGGAGGAGCTCCTTCACTTCCTGCCACTTGGCCTGCATGGGAACTATTTCCTGAATTTTCCCCTTCCCCTGTTTTTTCAGAGCCCTAGAATCCCTTGCTGGTTTCTCGGTGCTCCCTGATTTTCCCAAGATACACTGCTTCAGGTGGGGACACAGTTCTCCCAGTGACTGGCAGAGTCTGGCCATGAAAAGGACCGAGTGTAGCTTGACCCCGTCGAGAGCGTCCTGCTGCCCTTGTATAGCCTGCTGGATGCTCTGCAGCTCCGCCTGGATGCAGTCCGTGATGTGCCTGACACAGGCCGTGGAGTGCATCCGCAGCATCTCCTGCACGGTCCCCGTGTCTGCGTATCTGTCAAAGGCACAGTTCCTGGCTTGCGCGGGAGAGACGTCCTTGGGGGGTGACGGGTCGCCAGAGGGAAGGTAAGCCAGGAGGTCCTCCAGTTTCACCTTCAGTTTCGAATCTAGGGCAAAACAGAAGCTCTGTACACAAGGGCTAATGGCTTGTGCTTTCATGGAGAGCCCACTGCCCGGAAATTGAGCCCGGTTTGACACGCTGACCCAGGCAGCATCGGGAGGCAGGTCGCTGGGACTCTCGGACCAGAGGAAGAGAGACATGTTATGCTCCAGGTGGATGTGCTTATTTGAAGTGGAGCCGCTGGTGCTACTTTCGAGTTCCCGCAAGGCTGAAATGAGGAGCTCTTTGGAACTACTGGAGATGGAGTCAAAGCCTTCTTTTGTCAGAGTCTGAAAGCAAAGGAGAGAAGAGTTCTTCAAATCCCAGTTCTTTCCAGGAAATCTCAAAACCAGAGCACTAAGTGGCAATCTATCCCAACATCCAGTGTTCTCTGCCACGCTCAGAAAGGTGGCATGGTGGTGGCAGAGAACAATGTCATCACTGATGGACGTGGACATGTTCGCAACCACCCGACAGAGGCCTGGCCTCTTTTTCAGCACCAGAATCTGTTCATCTTTATGGCTCATAATCCAGAAGAGTCACCCCTGGAGTAGGTTGGCAGGGAAAGAATACACTTAGGAAGTGGCGGGAATCTCCCCTGACAATCAAAAGATCACACAGGGACTGGCCACCGAACAGCTGGACCACGCGATTTCCCACCTCACCTGCAGTCGGTCAAGGAACAGCTGCTGCATCAAATCCTCCCAGAACAAGAGAGGCCTGTCCAGAAGCCGCCGACAGATCACATCCCAGCTGTGATGGATCGACTCATTGGCAAGTAGCTCCCACGTGGCATCCCGGATCGCCGCGAGACCTTTCATGCTCGTCACGTACATAAGCAGGTTGCTGATCCCATTTTTAATGTCTTCATTACACCTGCAACAAAATTATTTTTCTTGGGCTTCATTAGTTTCGTGGTTTTCACAGCTTTATTAAGAAAAATAGCTGGACTCCACCTGAAAACCTCTTACCTGGGTCCTACTATGTAAATATCTATTATGTATCAGAGTGTTTATAAATATATAAACACTTCAAGGAGTTTGGGATTAACATGTTCACACTACTATATATAACACAGGTAAACAACCTACTGTACTGCATAGGGAACTATACTCGATATCATGTAATGACCTATAATGGAAAACAATTTGAAAAAGAATATATATGTGTATGTATAACTGAATCACTTTACTGTACGCTTGAAACTAACACAATATTGTAAATTAACTACACCTCAATTAAAAAAAACAAACACACACAACACTGCACTGAATAGAAGTATAGGAGCGGCAGAGCTCTAACATAAAGAGGGTCTAAAATCCTCTACGTCACATGTTGAAAGACAAATTCCCTCTCGGTTCTCCCAGCGGGGGCTAAGCGCCATGAGTGTAGTGAGAGATGGCTGAGGTGGGGCTGGCCTGACCCAGAGCACCATCCATACGGTCAGGGCTCTCCCTCCTTCCTGTGGTCACAGGCAAGGCTGGGTGGGTCCTGTCCCCCGCCAGGAAGGCTCTGGCTACTTACATGTGGATCCACTTCTGCAGCGTGTCTTTCAGGTACTCCTGGCTGATGGGACGCGCAAGCGTGCGGAGAGCCGGCTGGAACTCGACGACGGATGCGGGCAGGTGTTTGAACCAGCTGCACAGCTTCATGCCCTCCTGCAGGACACCAATCCCCTTTCCTAAGGAGAGGGCCAAGGCACAGGTCATCGGGACCATCCTTTGAACAGCAAATTAATAAAGGACCTGGAAGGAATTTCCAAAAATCATCCAGTCTTCCTCTGGGCAGCTGGACTAGACCCCTGAAATAGGGGGGGAAAGAAAGCACAGAGTATGTCCAGGCCTCCCCTCATCAGGGAGGGAGTGTGGCAGCTTCCCTCCAACTCTGCCATCCTATTGGTTGATAAGGCAAAGGACAGAGAGGAAAGGAATGGGGGAAAAAAGAGAAAGGAGGAAAATGAGGGCTATGTAATGCTTGGCATTTTAAAAGTAGAACTTCCGTTGAAAGTTCTTCCATCGGGAGAACTTCCGTTGAAAGATAAAGTAAGCCAGAAATGAGACTGTTTAATACACATCTCTGTCTGAAAACGACCTCAGGGCTGTCACCACATTCTGCTCGTTTCCCTTCTACCTTTCTTTGGCTGTGCCTCCTCCGTCTGACCTCTGAGTTCTGGAGTTTCCTGAGGCTCAGTCCTCCGTCATCCCCTCCCCTTACTGATGTCATCCACCCCAAGGCCTCAAACAACAGCCATTGCAGACGCACCATGTGTGTCTCCCCGGCCAGACCGCTTACTGCTCTCTTCTGGACCCACAGTTGCCTCTCCACTCCACATTCCCACTCCAAAGTCTCAGCTGTTTCCAAGGCAACATTTTCAAAAGTAAACTCATCAGCAGCCCTTTCAAACCAACTCCTTGTTGAACCCTCCTACACTGTCAGTGGGAATGTAAATCGGTGCAGCCACCATGGAGAGCAGTATGGAGGTTCCTTAAAAAACTAAAAATAGGCTTGTCATATGATCCAGCAATCCCACTCCTTGGCATATATCCAGAAAAGACGAAAGCTCTAATTTGAAAAGATGCACGCACCCCAATGTTCACTGCAGCACTATTTACCACACACAGCCAAGACATGGAAGCAACCTAAATGTCCGTGGACAGATGAATGCATAAAGAAGATGTGGTACATATATACAATGGAATGTTACTCAGCCATAAAAAAGAATGAACTAATGCCATTTGCGGCAACATGGATGGAGCTAAAGGTTATCACGCTAAGTGAAGTAAGTCAGAGAAAGACAAATATCATATGATACCACATATAGTGGAATCTTAAAAAATGATACAGACGAGCTTATTTACAAAACAGAAACAGACTCACAGACATAGAAAACAAACTTATGGTTACCAAAGGGGAAAAGGGCGGGGAGGGATAAATGAGGAGTTTGGGATTAGCAGATACAAACTACTATATATAAAGCAGATAAACAACAAGGTCCTACTGTATAGCACAGGGAACTATATTCAGTATCTTGTAATAAACTATAATGGAAAAGAACCCTAAGAAGAATATATAACTGAGTCACTTTGTTACACAGCAGGAACTAACACTGTAAATCAACTATATGTCAATAACAAAACAAAACAAAACAAAAAACTCCTTTCTAGTAAACTTGGACCCCTTCCTTCCACACGCTCTGCAGCCAATCCCTCACCAAATTGTCTGCTAAACACATGTCCGAGTTGCCCAATCAGCTCCACCTCTGCTGCCCCCATCGTCTGTCACCTGGTCACGGTGAGCTCTCAGCATCCACTCCAGCCCCAGTGGGAACTACTGGCACATAAAAGCCAAACGCATTTAATTCCAGTTGGGACAAGTGCTGCCAAAAAAAGGGTGCACGGGAACATATAACAGGAGGACCACCAAGCCTGGAAGGTCCTAGAAGGCTATCCACTGCTCTGTTCACACAGCGCTGTATTCTCTGGTCCCAAATGATAAACTGGCCACGTGTCTTCTCATGCTACTCCTCCCCTCACCCACCTCCCCTCAGCTTCCTCTGCTTTTTTTCAGTTCCTCATATACTAACATCCTCCTTGCCTCAGGACCTTTGCACCTCCTCTTCCTTTTGCCTGGAACTCTCTTCTTTGCCTGACTAACTCTTACTCAACCTTCAGGTTTCACTTTAAATATCCTGTCCCCAAGGAAGTCTCCGGCCTTGGTCCCTCCATTCAATGCTACCAAGTCAAGTTGTACTCTGCCTTTATAGCAATGACCAATATTGATATTAAGCAGATATCTGCATATCCACAAGTTCAACATCTGCCTCTACCACTAGACTCTGACCTCCAGGAAAGTGGGTCCATATCTGTCCAATTCACTGCTGTATCCCCAGAGCCCAGCACAGTAGCGGGCAGATGGCAGATGCTCAGTAAATGAATGAACCAGAAAATGAAAATGGTTGGCTAAGAGCTCACCAGTAGGATGCTGGCCTGTGATGTCGTCCAGAGTAGAGAGGAGCATGCCACACGGCAGGGATGGATCTGGCAGCAGACCTTCCGGTAAAGTGTAGAAAAGAGCATGAGCTTGGTTCAAAGTGGTGGCCAGCAACTCCACCAATGAGCAAATCTGAGACTTGACACCAGCACCTACGAGAAGAAGGCATCCTCTTTCAACAATTTTCCTTCGATAAAGTTAGAAGCAAAGAACACGCTGTGGAAGCTTTGGCCTCCCTCAGCTTGTTCTGCTCCATCCCCGGGTTTACGGCCCAAACTGTGGAGAGCAGCCACACCCACCGTGGTGCTGCTGGTTGAGCAGTTTCTGAATGGCTGCCTTTCTGGCCAACAGGAAGTCTGCTAGGGCTTGGCGCGGAGAACTCTCTTCTAAGAGCATCACAGAGCACAGGGCCTCGGCCACGGCTTGGTCGGCCACGGCTTGGCATGTAAGCAGCATCTTGCTCTCATGCAGGATGGCTGACCTAGAGAGAGAATGACAGAGGTCATGGGGAGCGTTTTACATCTTGGGAGAAGAACCCCAGTACATCAGGAAAGGAGACACACTCCATAAAATTGGAGGGGTGGAGTATGGCCATCACCAGAGCAGGTCTTTTTACCGGAAGTGGCTGGCCGCCGCCAGCTGCTGGCTGAGTATAGGGAATCGGGAGAGGACAGGGCTGTATCGGGAACTAGAAGGATCCAGCTGGAGCAGCTTGTGAAGGTGGCAGCAGAGCAGGTAGAGCTGTGTGGCGTGGAGATACTGAGAGGCCTCCATGGAGCTCCAGATCTTCTCAGGAATTTCTAGCAATAGCTTGATCTGGGCAGCCATGCTGTAGAACTTCTCCTGGGACGGCTGCTGTGGCTGCGGGGAAAGGCACGGAGCTAAGTCAGGACAAACAAAGGCAAGGTCAGCGTGGGGCCGGCTAGGGGAGAAGTGCGGGGCTGTCTGGGGGGTACAAAGCTTCCACGAAGCCAGATTCAATGCCGCTCAGCAAGGCACCAAGGTTCGTGTAGCAGAATTACTGGAGTCAAGCTTTTCCTACCGGTTGCACCTTTGCTCCATCCCGTGGAGGGGCAAACCGAATCTGGTCATCGCACAGACAGGGTATCAGGGAGCCGATGCTCCGCCCCTCGAGTGAGCTCTCCCCTTCCTTTGCTTGGCGCTCGGCCTCCCTACATTCTCTCTTGCTGCTCTGAATGCATCGTGGGCTTCGTTGCTGGCTGCTTCTCTTCGCCGACCTTCCACCAGATCTTCACGTTCCACTCACCTCGGTCTGTCCTCTTCCTTCACGAATGTCCTCCCTGAAGCGCCAGCTCCAGGCAGATCACCACCGCATCTCGTAGTCCCCCGCTGCCCTGAATCCCCGTCGAGCCTTTTCTGCCGCTGCCAGACATCTCCCCTTGGAACTTTTGCTGTTCTATAATCAGTGTATCCAAAACTAAATTCATCTCCCTATACCAAAAATTTTAGCCATCTGACCTCCCTCAACATCTTCACATATACCATCACTCTGCCCCCAGACCCCAGGAAATTCAGGTCCTTCTGATGGTTCTGTCGACATCTCTACGACCTAGGTTTCTGCTACCACTTCCATGATTCTACTGCGAGTCATCATCATCTCACACTTCGATGAATCCAAAGACATTTCGCTTGTGCCGTGTTCATTCTCTGTCCCTCCAACCCACCCTTTTCCTTTGCTGTCAAGTTAACCTTCTTCACAGGCCATTTAGATCATACCTTTGCTCAGTTCTAAAAGGCTCCTTACGGCCCAGTACCTTAGCCTGGTGGTCAAGGGTTTCCTGTCCTTCCACTGCTTTCTTCCAGGGACCTATTCTTTTTTAAAAAACTATTTATTTGTTTGTGCCGGGTCTTAGCTGTGGCACACGGGATCTTAGTTGCGGCAAGCGGGATCTAGTTCCCTCACCAGGGATCGAACCCCGGCCCCCTGCATTGGGAGCACGGAGTCTTAACCCGTGTTTAAGACTGGACCACCAGGGAAGTCCCTCTAGGGACCCTTGAATCCATTGGTTCTCATGTGTGGGGAGGAAGAGGATTTCATCCCCCAGGGAACACGTGGCAACCTCTGGGGACATTTCTGATTACCACAGTGGGGGACAGGAGTGCTACTGGCATCTAGTGGGAAGAAGCCAGGGACGCTTCTAAACATCCCACGAGGGCTTCCCTGGTGGCGCAGTGGTTGAGAGTCCGCCTGCCGATGCAGGGGACACGGGTCTGTGCCCCGGTCCGGGAAGATCCCACGTGCCGCGGAGCGGCTGGGCCCGTGAGCCATGGCCGCTGAGCCTGCGCGTCCGGAGCCTGTGCTCCGCAACGGGAGAGGCCACAACAGTGAGAGGCCTGCGTACCGCAAAAACGAAAACAAACATCCCACAATGCCCTGGATAAGCATCTCCAACAAGGAATGATCCAGTTCAAAATGTCAACGGCACCAAGGTTGACCAACCCTGCTTTAATCAAATTGATACTTGGTTTTGTCTTTACATACTCCAGACCCCCTATTCCAAATCTCATCTATCCTAAACGCCTCTCCTAACTGAGAAGGACCCAAGCCTGAAGTGACTTCCTTCAGAATTCTTATGGTAAATGTACACAATTATTCTGGGAATCAATCACCCATTATCCTAAAATGTCTTCTGCTATTCTAAATTGTTTACATTTTTCTCATCAACTTTCCATGGATTTAATTTCTCAACTAGATTGTAAGCTCCTTTGGAACAGAATTCTGATTCTTTGTGCCTTGAACACAGAAGGCGCTCACATTTTTGTGGGTTTGACTGAGAATAAATAAGATATAACAGGAATAAAAATAAATGTTTCCAAAAACAAGCCAGCACAAATTAGCTTAGGGAGGGATGAAGTGTCTCATTTCAGAAGTTAGCGAAGAATTTCCAATCTTCTATGGTTTTGTCGTGTGAGCCCAGCCTAATGACGTGCGTTTTTCTAAAACCCAGACTGTATTAAAAAGCTCCAAACTGGAGCTAAACTGTACTTTTGCAATTTCTTCTTCCACGTCACTGCAAGGATCTTCTCCCAGGTTTAAGGACAAGCGTTTACCTTTTTCACTCTCCACACCCTTTCACTTTGCCACCCTAAGTCATGGTTCTTTAGGAGCACAAAAGGCTACTCCACTATTAGGATCAGCATTCTTCCACGTTGGGTCTAATCATTAGCGTCTGGGGCGGGGGGCAGGGGGCAACACTTCAGAACACCTGATTAGAAAAACCTGAGTTCCTTAAAATGAAACTGTTCCGCTATTAAAAGACGGCAGCTTGATGGGCTGGTTACTAGCCTCCAACGACTCCCACAGAGGGTAGCAGAGCTCTTTCGGGCCGTGGGAGTTATTCTTGGGAGTGGGGTGGGGGCGGGGCTGGGAGGAAAATTGGGAGGAGGAAGGAACGACTTGGGGGGAAGGTGTCAACACGGGAGAACTCTGTTCCAGGAACAATGTCAGGAAACGCGATACAGGGAACGAGTTGAACAGTCTAGCGAGAGACCCCTGGCGTCTCCATCTCAGGTGGGAAGACAAGCCCGGAGACCCCACGGGTGAGGTGAGGGGGGCGAGGCCCGGAAGCGCGGGAAGGCTCCCGAGGAGACGGCCGAGGAACCGTGGAGAACGGGTCACAGCAAGGGAAGGACCGCGGGCGTCCCCCCAGGAGCCGAGCGCAGGGGGTGGCGGGAGCTCTTCCTGAGGCAAGTGAGGCCCCGCCAGGGGCGCCGACCGACCCGCGGGGGGGGGAGCGGCCGGGCCCGGGGCGGGGGCCCGGGGC